GCCACACCTTTCTGAAAAGTTCTAGACTCAAGCCACACTTAACAGTCAAGGTAAATCGATCACAAAGATAAATTCTAGTTTCCTCTCTCAATTTTAGGAACTCTTTTTTTGTGGACCAGTGACATGCCTGGGTGTATGTAGTTATCTATAGTAAAAAACATATAAGTACAATCTCATTTATCTGGCCCTTATTTATTATCCACACCTGGTTTATGCTGGCCATTTTGCATTTAAGGACCTCACTACCCCCTCTACCAAGAAAGGGCTTTCTTAACCACCTAAGTCACGATACATAAGGATCACCTTGAAATGGGGATATTGGAAGGGACATGACAGCTATTTTCAAGCCCTGCCATACACAAACTATGTTGGTATATAGGTTTCAATCTCTTAAGGTCCCTTGCTGTTCTAAATCCATAATCCTCTAAGTACAAGTGTAAAAGTAATTTAATGTCTCCTGAAAGTACAGAATGAATGTTTGAGGCTGGGAAAGGCAATATGATCAATCTACGTATAATTTCCTTGTGCCTTCTTTGAAGGGGAAAAAAAAAGTCTCAGACATCATGACCTAGGAGATTGCCAGGATTTTAGTGGAATAACAAATTTATATCCTGAGGGGAAAATAGGGCAGTAGGAGATCAATGTTCAGTTGATTCCAATGTACTACTTATATCTTCAACTTTTTAAGTGGTTCGCAATTTTACTAGAACAAGCACTATTACAACTACAGGCTCGTGCTCCACAACCACAGCACATAATCATACGCCAAAGCTTCTTGGATAATCATTTTATCAACAGATGTTTTGATAGATTCAGCCATTATAAACTAACTGTTTCTGGAGAGCCAGTCTGTTCTGGTAAAGAATCAAGAAAATAGCTGACACTCACAAATGGCAGGAAACATCTTCGTATAGTACCAAATTGGCTAAAGTGTTCTTTGACCTCATCTGTGGAAAGAAAAAAGTAAATAGGCCAGTTATTAATTTTTAGATTTTCCATCACAGAATTTTATAACTGGAAAAAATTTTAACCATAACCTAGCCCAGGGTTCCATTTTCTTGTGACGACAGCCACTTTTCATTTCCTTGAAGGCCTTGATGGCACCCTGCATGAATAACATAAAATAAAATCCAGTAGAGTTTAGAGTACCGAGTTCTATTCCAGGGCAAATCACCTGCAGGTGTGGTTATGCACAGATGCTACCCATCTGCAGCAAAGCTATCAACTTCCCAATTATCTACAAATAGCTAACCCGGACATTCAAAATCTTTGTAGGCTCTTGACATAACTAACTTTTCTAGCTTTATCTGAAAATCTGTCCTCTCCCCACCCCCCCTTTTCTTTACTTCCTCTTCTTGTTCTCTCTAACTGGAATACTGACCTTCCCATTTCAGGATACATCTGGCGCACTCTTTCAGACCTGCACAACTCAGCAGTTGGTAGGGGCCAAAATAAAAATAAGCTAAATTTCTTTGAGCCACAGAGACTTTTATCAGCTCACTTTACAAGTATAATTAATAATTAAACTATGTTGCAAATAAGCTATATTTTTTAAAAAAGGGAAATTTCCATTAATGTACATTAACTACACTTATTAAGATTTTTATTTATCATGAAATCGCTCCTCTCAGATTAGAGACAGACTGAAGATGGTCGGTTGCCAGAGTCATGTGACTGTGCCATGGCAACCCACCTGCCAAGTTATGTGATGGGCACAGTAATAACTAGTGGAAGGCGGGTTAAGCAGGGCGCAAACAAAGCACTTATTACATCTTTACTTCCTTTTACATCCTCTACATTTTTTTGCTGGCCATCTAAAATCCTTTTGTGGCCCACAGGCCTGCTCTATTTAATTGACCAGTTAGGGGCACTAATTTGAAGGATGCTGATAAACTGGAGAATGTCTAGGGGATGGAAACCAGAGCATGAAGGGTCTTGACCACCTAAGTCGCAACACATAAGGATCACCATGGAATGGGAAGACTGGAAGGGGACATGACAGCTGTTTTCAAGCCCTACATAGGCTGTATTGTACCTAGTTGGTATTTGTTTTTTTCCCACTAGACTGACTCAAGGCAGGTACTGTTTTTTGCCTCTCTCTATTCCCAGAGATGAGCACATAGTAGGCACTTAATAAATGTTGACTGCCATTTAGAAGAAGGATTAGACCTATTTTGCTTGGTTCCTGGCAAGTAGAAGCAAAGTAAGCTGTGGAGGTAGAGTTTTAAGTATTATGTAAGGGGGGACTTCCTAACATAATTAAAAGTATTCACAAGTAGAGTAGGCTGTCCTTTACTAATGAATAACCCTTTGTTAGGAATGAAATAGGGGTGGAGGGGACTCCCTATATGCATAGAGGTTGGAGTACAAAGTCTCAGTCTCTTCCAACTCAAGATTCTGTGATTCCACTTGCTGAAATTTTAGGCATACTTTAAGGGCCCTGTTCAATTCTACCACTTCCATAAATCCTCCCCTGACCACCCCCCGCTGAAAGTGATCTGCCTCCTCTACACTTAGTTGGCATTATTTTTATAGATACAGATCATATAATTTACCTTCAACAATCTGAGATTTTGTTCAGGTAGAGTCAAGAGTCAGAAGACCTATATTTGAATTCTATAACTATATCTGACCTTGGATAAGCCACAATGTCATTTTCCTCTTTTAAAATGAGCTCTGGACAAATATCTCTAAGGTCCTCATTTTCTGTTCTGTTGTGTACATGGAAAACATGCATTTGGGGCAGCTAGGTGGCAGAGTGAATAGAGCTCTGGCCTTGGAGTCAGGAGGACCTGAGTTCAAATCTATCCTCAGACACTTAACACTTACTAGCTGTGTGACCCTGGGCAAGTCACTTAACCCCAACTGCCTCACTTAAAAAAAAAAGGGGGGGAAAAAGCATTTTATTTGGTGTTTAAGTCCAGAATTTAAAAATAAAAAGCTCTACACCACAGCTGTGTTCTTTCCACTATACCATGCTGAAATATAACATTTTCCTCAACAAAACCAACTCCTACCCTCCCCCAGCCAGGCCACGTGGAGATTAAATTTTGGGGCAGCATGGCAGTGGAGAGAATACCAGGTCTGGGGTAGGGAAGACCAAGTTAAAATCTAGCCTGAGACAATCACTGGCTCTGTGACCCTGGGCAAGTCACCAAAACTGTTTGCCTCAGTTTTCTTGTCTGTAAAATGGAGACTGTTATCCCTAAGCATCTATCTGGCAGGGTTCTTTTGAGGATCAAAAGAAATATCTGTAAAGCACAGTGCCTGGCACATGGTAAGCATTATATAAATGTTAGCTGCCATTACTATCATTATTATTATTCAGCCTGTTTGTTTCTTGTCCTGGGAAGTGTCTTATATAAAAATCCTTGTATATCCAGAGCAGGGATGAGTCACTAGTGATTGGTGTATGGATTTCAGCAAGTCCCTAAACTTGGACTGGGGCAAAAAAATGTTACATCTTTATTTGCATTAACCTCTAAAGGAAATTCAGCATTTCCTTTAATTATTTAAAAAAAAAACCCAACAACCCACAGCATTATTCTGATAAGGTTCACCAGACTGCCAAGGAATCCATGACACACCTAAAAGTTAAAACTCCTCTTAAGGGAGGCAGCACCTCATCTAGTTGTCCCAAGCCTTCATTGGCAAGAAGCATCTGTTGCTGGTGCCACTCCAATGGGGAGACCACCAACCCTCATTCAGCCAGATTGAAAGCATGCGCCCCAGCTCCACAGGGAGTGATGGCTCAGGGTCCTCTTCCGCCTCTGCTTAAACCCGGAGTGTCTCCAGGCCCTTCCAGCAAGGAGCCCTTCCTTTTTCTTAGCGTTTACAGTTCCTTGCTACTCCCAGATAGCTCTGGAGGAGAATGTGAGGCTGGTGACTTTGTACATCCCTCCCTCCCTCAAATCAAAGTCAACTGCATGGCATGTCACCATCTCCCTGAAGTCATGGTCTTCTTCAAGAATGAAGGAGAAACACAACCTGTGAGTAGTCTGAGCCGCCTAAATTGGGACCCAGCTGGCCAGTTCCAGTTGTCCCCTCTCCCTCTTCTCTCTGGGCTTTACTGGCTAGATTTCTTTCTCAAAAGCCCAGCCTTAAACCCAATTCACTCTAGAGCTCAAAGACTGGACAACAAAGGTGCCTGCCCAAGCACCACTTAATGGTTATTTTTTGGGGCCCTCCAGGCTCAGAAGGGATGTAAATGGTAACTGTTTCTCTTTTGGCCAGCAACCCTGAGGGTCTTCCCTTCCTAATTTGCTTTTTTTTTTTTTAATTAAAGGGGCCATCCCTTGACTCACTTCCTAAAGAGGCCTATTCACTGGGCTTTACCTTAGCTTAAAAGGGTCAGGGTCTCCCACTGCTTCCTGAGCCTTCTCCAGGCATCTTGATCAGTATCTGGCCACTGGACCCAGATGGCTCTGGAGGAGAAAGTGAGGCTGGTGACTCTGCACAGGCCTCCCTTACTCAAGTCAAAGTCAACGGCAAGTCATGTCATCGTCTTCCAGATGTCATGGTCCTCTTTCGAGAATGAAGAACAAACACAACAAGTCGCGGGCCGCTAGGTGGTGCCGGGGATATAAAATGCGGAACCCGGAGTCCTGAGTTCAATTCCTCACTCAGGCACTTACTAGCAGTGTGAAGCCTGGAGCAAGTCACTCACTCCATCCGCCTCAGTTTTCCTATTTATAGAATGGGAAGATGATAGCACCCACCGCCCTACGAGGCTTGGCAAACTTCAAAGCGCCGTGTAAATGCCAGCAATCGTTAGAGACAAAGGCTGGTGGGGCGAGATCGGATCCCCCGCAAACCTCCACGGCCACCCATCCCCTCCAGCTACTCACTAGCCGTTGCCGTCCAGGGAATGCGGTTGACAAAAATCGTGGCCAAATGCCGCACCGCGGACGAACGAAAAGCCAACTCGGTTGCCATGTGGGAAGCTAGCAACGCGTAGATTCAGGAACCCGCGGCCACCCCAATGCGGCTCGCCAAGGTGAGGAAGTCAGCGTTCCGGAAGTGGAGATGGCGGTGTCCTTCCGGGTCAAGAGCCCTCTCGGGGAATGATGGGAACGATGGGGAAGATGGCGGCGCTGGCCGCCGAGCCCGGGGAAGATGCTTTTCGGAAACTCTTCCGTTTCTACAGGCAGAGCCGCCCTGGGACCGCCGATCTGAGAGAAGTGATCGACTTCTCCCAGGCTTCCTCCACGCGGGACATCGGCCACAAGGTACGGAGAGAAAGGGGACGGGGCACGCGGCCTTTTCTCCGACCCCGTCTCGCCGGCTTTTCCTCTCGCATTCGGTCCGGGGCCCGCCCAGCCCCGCCCCAAGAGGCCCCCGCCCGGGACGTGGTAAGGGACAGGTGCCCAGAAACGTGCCCGGGGCCGGCGTGAGCTCTCCTCCCACGGCGGGGATCTTCCGTCCGTCCGCGGGTTCCTTCTTATCCCGGGCCGGTCTTCTCTCCCAGGGCCACAAAGCGCCGGGCACATAGTAGGCTCTTCATAGATGCTGGATGACTTGACCCGTAGGCACCCAGGACTTCCGAAAAGTGTTTACACTAATTACTTGGTTCCTTTCTGAACGTGTGAGGCCTCTGTCCACACCTGTTGGTAACGAACGGCTTTGTCCAGAAACTCTCACCACCTGTCATATTTCTCACCTCAGTGGATGGGGGAGGGAGAGAATTTGGGACGGAGAGCAAAATAATTAAACAAACAAATAAAAACAGTCACCACCTGTTGGCCAACTTGATGGCTATGAGCCTCTTAGAGTTGAACCGAGATGCCTTAAAAGTCATGTATTTAGAGATAGAAGAGCCCTCAATAGGTCATGTACTGCAGCACAACTCTCTCGTTTGACAACTGAGGTCCAGAGAGTTGAAATCACTTGCCCAAGATTGCATAGGTAAAGCATGGAAGAACTGTGATTTGAGCCCACATTTTCTGACTAAATCCAGTGCTCTTCTTACTGTGGGCATTTGTTTGTTTATTTTAAAGCTGTTAGGCTGAATCTCTTCCAATCGAGTGCTTAGCGGTGTGTAGGTACTTAATAAATGTTTATTGAATTAAATTGAATCGATCAGCACAGGAGTTTTAACCGGTTCTGTTTTCAGACCTGAGTGGGTTAGCCAAGAAATACTCAGATTATGAACAGTTGCACTCATTTCACACACCATCAAGGTTATGCTTAAGATTCTGCAAGCTAGACTTCAGCAATACGTGAACTAAGAATATGATGATAATAGTATATAATATATTAATATTATAGATCAACATAGCATATATCAAGTAATATATTAATATAAAATGTATTAATAATAGTATTTGCTTGTTTATGGAGAAAGCAAGGGAGTTTAAAAAAATCTACTTCTTTCTTCCTATTGGTTCTAATTCTTCCTTACAACATCACTAATGTGAAAATATGTTTAATAGGAATGTGTATGTATAGCCCATATCAGATTGCTCGTCCTCTTGGGGAGGGAGGGGGAGAGAAAATTTTAAAACTCAAAACCTTATGGAAGTGATTGTTGATAAATCAAAATAAATTAATTAAAAAAATAATAAAAATCTACTTCTGCTTCATTGAGCACACTAAGGCTTTTATGTGGATCACAACAAAATGTGTCAAGTCCTCAAAGAGATGGGAATACCGGGGCATCTTACTTGTCTCCTGAGGAACCTGTATGCAGGTCAAGAAACAACAGTTAGAACTGAATATGTAACAACTAATTGATTTAAGGTTGTAAAAGGAGTGTATGACAAGGCTGTATATTGTCACCTTGTTTATTTAATTTATATGCAGAGGACATCATGTGAAATGCTAGGCTGGATGAATCAGAAGCAAGAATTAAGATTGCCAGGAGAAAGATGAATAACCTCAGATAGGCAGATGATACCACTTTGATGGCAGAAAATGAAGAATTAAGAAGCTTGATAAGAGTGAAAGAGGAGAATGTAAATGTTGACTTAAAATGTAACTTCTGGGGGCAGCTACGGAGTCGAAGTAGATGGAGCACTGGCCCTGGAGTCAGGAGGACTGATCAATCTGACCTCAGACTAGCTGTGTGGCCCTGGGCAAGTCTCTTAACCCCAATTGCCTCACTTAAAAAAAAAAAGTAACTTCAAAAAAACTAAGGTCTTGGCAACTGGTCCCATCACTTCCTGGCAAATAGAGGGAGGAGAAGTGGAAGCAATGTCAGATTTTATATTCTTGGGCTTAAAGATTTCTGCAGATGGTGACAGCAGTCATAAAATTAAAAGATGCTTGTTCCTTAGAAGGAAAGCTATGGCAGATCTGGGCAGCACACTAAACAGCAGAGACATCACCTAGCCAACAATGGTCCCTATAGTCGAAGCTATGGTTTTTTAGGTAGCAATGTATGGCTGAGAGTTGTACTGTAAGGAAAGCTGAGCACTACAGAATTGATGCTTTGAAACTGTGGTTCTAGAGAAGACTTGGGAGTCCCTTGGACAGCAAGAAGATCAAATCAGTCAAGACTTAAAGAAATTAATCTAACTGTTCGCTGCAAGGTCAAATACTGGAGCTTACTCATTTGAAAAGACTCTGATATTGGGGAAAATTGAAGGCAAAAGGAAAAGGGGACAATAGAGGATGAGATGGATAGAGAATGTCATAGAAACAACAAACATGAGTTAGTTCAGACTTCAAGAGACAGAGACAAGAGACTTGGTGTGCTAAGGTCATGTGGTCATGAAAAGTCCGACATGACTGAAGAACAAGGGTTAATATCTGGTTTTGTAAGTCATTACGTGGCTCCCAGGGATCTTTATGTACATTTTGGTGACCCCTGTTTCTATTTGAGTTTGATACTGTTGTTCTAAATGACTTTATAAGAATCCTTAAAAAGTCAAGGATCCACCATGTGGGTACTCTCTCCACTGATGCAGATTATAATGCTTTACCAATTTACAACTTCCAAGGTTGTTTTGACCAAAAGAGTCATATTACCCTGTGGCCGAATTGATGATGGGATTCCATACTGAGCTACACTAGGCCTCAGGTGACAAGTATACACCAAATTTCAACTCTAAGCCATTCTGACATGGTGGTATTCTTTTGATATGGCCTTCAAGAATATGTCTTGCAGCTGACCCCTTCTCTCTGTTCACACAACTATTATCTTAGTTCAGATTCTTATCATATCTCATCTAGTCTGTTTCAGTTGTTACCTAATTATCTCCCTGCCTCAAGTCCTTCCCCCTTTTCAGTCCATCTTGTACACAGCTGCCAAAATGATTTTCCTTAAGTGCACATCTGGTCATATCATTCCCTTGATCATTAAACTCTAGTGGCTTTCTGTTGGCCCTCGGGAAAAAATATTAACTCTTGATGGTATTCAAAGTTCTTAACAATATGGCCCCATCTTCTTTCCAGCTCCATCACATTGTACTCCCTTTCCTGAACTGACTTTCTCTCTGTTTTCCCATCTCTGTGCCTTTATACTGACAGTACCCCATGCCTGGAATGCTCTCCCTCATCTCAGCCCTGTACTTCAACCTACCATCTTTTTCCTCAAGACACAGCTCAGGTGCTACTTTCTACATGAAGCCTTTCCTGATCCAGCTTCTCTAAGCCTCAATTGCTAGTGTCCTCCCTCCTTAATTGTATTTATTTTCACATATACTTATATGTAAAAGTGATTATCAGTGGGGGAATATAAGCCCCTTGTATTTGTATCCCCAGGGCTCCACACATAGTAGGTACTTAAAAAATCTTGATTGGTTGATGAATCCTGGGTCACTGCCATTAAATAAGATACATTAGTAGAAGTCAGTTTAGAATAATTTCCCTATGGCCATACATCTAATAAGTATAGGAGCTAGTATTTGGATTTTGAGTCAGAACTCCCCAAGTGTTCCTTCCATCACCCTGCCTCTCTGTGACATGTTCTTGTTATGGTTTCAATCTCTTTAGAAATAATTTGACTTGTTCATTTAATGTTAGATCTAGTTTTATCCAATATAGCAGTTACAGTATTCAAAAACCTTATATTTCTTAATCTGTTTAATGAACTATACACAGAAGAGGTATGTATACAGAGACCATTTCATCTAGCAGTATGGTAAAACCATGGCTAGATAATTAAAAATAAGCAAAAACATTCTGAACTTTTGCTTAAATCTTGTTCAAAAGACAGCAAATACTATGCTTCTCACAGAGCTCAGAAATCTGTGTTGGAACATGGTTTCAGTGTAATTAGAGTATTCTCCCTTCATCTTTCTTTTTCTTCCTTGAAGCACATAGATACCTGAGAATTTTTTTGTCTGAGGATCAACTGTTTTTGGCATGTAAGATATAATGAGATTATTCTGTGAGTTACCATGCTCAGAAAATAATGATGTGTGGTTATGTTAAATGCCACCAAAGCATTATGGGAATCTGATAAGTGGCCCTAACCTAAGTATCCTAAGGTACTCTAGTTAAGTATTTTATTAATTACTCTTTATACTTCAGTAAGATGGAAGAAATCACTGGGGGAAAGTGCCAGATAAAAACAATCCAAGAGCCCAAAATTATCTTTTCCATAGAGTAATGGAAAGTTTTTCTCCTAGCTACTTACATTGTGGTGTAACAGAAAGGCCACCGGAATTTGAGTCAGAAACTAGGATCTAAATTCTCCCCAGCACTAACTATGACCTCGTAGAGGTCACTTACCATCTCTGAACCTTATGTTCCACATTGTAAGGATAATAATGTGCTATCTGTCCTCCTGTCCCACCTCCCCAAGATTATTGTGTTGGACAGAAGAAGTAACGTGTATGAAAGTGCTTTTTAGTCATAAAGCACTATTTATATGTAAGTTTTCATAATTGTCGTTTGTCTCAGAAGCATCTTCTTTGAGATCACATGGACAAGTTATTTTCCAGAATGTCATTTTCAGCATTTTTTGGCAATCTGACTTCTGTTGCCTTCCTGCCAGGTGTTCAGGTCTCCACTAAGTGTGTCCTCGGTCAGTGAGCAAGATGCGTGTAGAGCAGGACTTCAGCCAGTCAACAAGTGGAAAGCCTATGGCTTAGAAGGCTATCCAGGTAAGCTCACCCTGCTCTAGATGAGGTGCAGTTAGTGAGGAATCAGTTTATGAGGCAGACACATAATCCACCTTAAAACTCAGCCTAAAATTCTGCCTTTGATCTCTTTGATAGGTATAATCCTATGATTTCACTGGTATAGGGATCTCCCAGAGGAACTCCCACTGCTAATGCAGGTTGGCATCTTCTCTCTTTTTTTGAGCTTAATTGTCTTAGAGACTTACCTAGAGCACTGAGAGATTAAGTCAAACAGCCAGTATGCAGTCAGAGGCCAATTCAGACCTTCCTGACCCTAAGGCCAGCGCTCTATCCCCTCTGCCACACCACCTCCCTTGATTTAGGACAGAGTAGGAATTGTTTCATTCTTTTTGCCTAGCTCCCCAGTGCTTAACACAGTGCCTGGTACCTAGGAGGCACTTAATAAGTACTTGTTGATTGATCAAAATATATATATATATATATTAGAAAGCCAGCAATCCCTGGCTCACAGGCCAGACAATGTTTGCCAAAGGAAAGGCAAATATCTATAAGTGCATTTTACGATAGACACTTTGCCATCATTTCAAACTTCTGGCTCATCTCCCTTAGTCACCTCAGTCTAGTAGTCTATGTGGTAATAGAACTCCAGGGACTTGGATCTTGTGGCCAAGGGAGATTAGAGCCTAGATAGGATTAAGGGTGGGAATTGGCCTGGGGCCATGGGGAGGTAAAACACTGGAGGGCTAGGTTAGATTAAGAGTAACAGAATTGGGAGATTGAGTGTAGCCACAATGAAAGGCTTGTTGATGGGATTATAGACTGGAGGGATGGAGGGGGGAATGCCAGAGATTTGGCTATGTGGGAAAGTCCAGGGTTTTTCCTTTTTGGGGTCCAGATCCCAACCCTGTCATTCCCCCCTCAAACAAATGGGACCCAAATTCTTTTGGGGTAAGGGGAGAAGGTCTTGGCTTCTAAAACTGCTTCCTGCTGGCAAGGGGCATAGAGCTGTCCCTGCCTCTAGGGGGTCCCAAAAAGGAGGTTGACTGGAACCAAGCACAGGCTGCATCCAGGGAACAATGGGGGGGTCTTTGGCTGGTACCTGCTTTTTGCTACCAACTGTAGGTGAATGGCCTGTAGTCTGAAAGACACTAATCTGACAGAAAAGACTTCAGGGCCCAGATATGAAAGGATAAAACATTCTTAGCTCTGTCTGGATTCAGATAATTCAGTTTTCCAACCATGCAGTATCAAATCCACCTCATAGCCAGACTCAGGAATAGCCAGGTGGGTAACATTCCTTTTCAGAGAAGCATAATGGGGAAACTGAGCCAGGAGGATCCTATCTTAGACTGAGTCTAAAATTATCCTCTCAGCTTTCTCTGCCCCATGGTGACTTCCCACCAGTATCACATTGTCTCTGAGTAGCTTGTGGCATTTCTCTCAGATGGTAGATTATTGATTATCAGTAGATTGTTATGATCCATTAGACAACTCAAAATAAAATCCCATGAGCTTTTTTTACCTCAAACAGCAAGTTTCACTAATCACAGTTTAGGAAAAACTTATCTAGGATTTGCATCTCAAATTTAAATTTGTCCTGGTGTAAAAAGCCATTTATTACAGATTGCTATATACTTGCAAATATTCAGCAAGCCATATCCCAAACAAGCTTTTTGGCAAGTTTATACATTAAAATAACCAACAACAGCCAAATAATTTTAGCAGTAACCAAATTATGAAAAGTTGCTTGACATAACCGATACAAAAAAGTTAATTTGAAACTTGAAACAAACCCATTACCAATTAGGTGGTTTCAGTTTTGTTAAGTACATTTCTAAATTACTTTACACAGAGAAACAACATCATCATTAACAGTTAAAAGTACAACTTTAAAAAGAGCGTGCTTACCCAAGTTTGGAGGCTAGCTTACTCTACCTTGAGCAGGATGTGCTAAACCCGGGTGATTCTTCCAGGCAAAGGTTGCCCTGGGGACCAAGGCCATTGCCAGGGGGTCCTGTGCTATAGCTCCCCCCTCAAGGTGAGGGGGAAGGGGTGAAACTGTCTTCTCCTGTGAGAGGGGTTAACAGATACCCTCTTGACTCAAGGGAAGAGAGTGACCAGGGTTGTAAGGAGGTGTTTCAAAACTCCTTAATGATCAATCATAAAACCTCCAGAATCTGCCAAGATATTTTTAGCTGTTCCAACTTTTCCCTGTAACCTCCATGAAGGAGGATTCAGGAGTGTAGAGGGAAGGGAGTAAGTAAACCTCAGGGAACCAAAAAGCAACTGCAGTTTTTTCCAGCTCCCTAGTGCTGAGAAAATTGACAGAATTGGGCATACACTTCCAGGTAGGGCGTCCATCCTTGTCGTCTGTGCTGCAGAAGGTGTACCCAGGTCTATGGCCTCAAACCGACCCAGTGGACCAAGAGCATCAGGCTGAGTGCGAGACAGTCTCATAACTGTCTGCCAGAAAAGCACCTCCAAGCCTTGATGCTTGGAGAGTGACCCCAACTGCAGAGCAAGAAAGGGGGTGAGGGGAAGGTTTACATACCTTCTAGTCTTGGTTGAAGAAGAACTTGGGATTAGGCAGTTTCCCTGTGTGGGCCACCAAAATGTTGAGGTTTAGGGGTGCTAGGACCCCAATATCACAACACGCGGGTCCTACCCAAGAGGATTCGACCCAAGCCTTCTTTCAGCCAAAGACAAGGTTTATTAGAACATCATCATATTGGGCAGACTCTTAAGAAGTCTGAACATTAGTAAGCTGTTAGCTAGATTTTAAGAATCTAAGGCAAGGAAATATATTTTTAAAACCTAGTTATTCTTGTATCTCTGTAAAATGCAAGAACATGGTGTAAGTCTGGGTTTATTTTGTCTAGGGTTGGTCTTTTTTAGTTTTATGTATAGTAATACAGACTTCTTTAATGAGATCCTTGGTTATTCAAAAGATTGACTCACATTTCCCAGTTGGTAAATGGTCAAAGTATTTGAAAAGGCATTTTTCTAAGGAAGAAATCCAAGCTATCAGTAACATGTGAAAAAAAAATGCTCCAGATCACTAATAATTAGAGAAATGCAAATTAAAGCAACTCTGAGGTTCTACCTTACACTTGTCAGATTGACAAAGTTGATAAAAAAGGAGAATGACAAATATTAGAAGGGCTACATTGGAGAAATACAATAATTCTTTTTTTTTGGTAGAGCTGTGAATTGGTACAGCAGTTCTGGAAAGCAATTTAGAACTGTGTCTCAAAAGTTATTTAACTATGCATGCCTTGTGACCCAGTAATGCTACTCTAGATAAAAGAGATTAGAGAAAGTAAAAAGCCCCATATGTACAAAAATACATATATGGCTTTTCTTTTTATGGAAGTAAAGAATTGGAAACTAAAGGGGTACCCATCAACTGAGATATGCCTGAACTAATAGCATATGAATATAATGGAATACTATTATGCTAAGAAATGATGCAAGGTACCATTTCATTGAAACATGGGAGGACTTTTATGAACTGATGCAGAGTAAAGTGAGCAGAACCAGGAGAACAATACAATAACAACATTGTTTAAGTAAACAACTTTGAAAGACTTAAGAACTTTGATTAATGCAATGGCCAATTACAGTTTGAAAGTACCAATGATAAAGTGTACTGCCCACCTTCAGCCAAAGAGGTGATGGACTCAGGGTGTAAAATGAGACATGTGTTTTAGATATAGCCAATGTAGAAATTTGTTGTGTTTGACTAAACAAACACATTTGCTACAAGAATTTTGTTTTCCTTTTTAAACTGGAAAAAAAAGAAACAGGGAGCTGGGAGGGAGAGAAAATAGATATATTTTTTTTAAAATACAGTATAATTAAAACAAAAAAGCCATACAGAAGAACTAAAAAGATGAAAAATGGCTATTGCTCCTATTATGATGTGCAGTTGAAATAGTTCATTAATTGTATCACTAATTCTTTTGGAGATAGGCATTGTGCATAAAAAATTAGTTGGTCCCAGAATTTTTTTAAGGGGGGTGGTAGAAAAGAGAGCAAGCATTTATTAAATACTTACTATATGCCAGACACTGTGCTAAGCACTTTACAAATATTGTCTCATTTGAAAATTCCTTCATAGGAAAATAATAGGTTGGATTACTTTTGGGAAATTGTATAGTGCTTTCAGTGATCCCAGCCTGCTTTCTGGCTCAAAGATTCTTTTTTTTTTTTCAACTCAGCAGCTGTACCAAGGATGTTAGAACCTAAGAACATGATACCCAAAGGATGATGGAGAGATATATCATGGTCTTAGGTGGGCTGCAGCATATTTCCAATGATAACCTAAGCTCAAAAAGTAAGAGATATTGTGGAAGATATTAGAATCAGAAATGGCTGGTCCTATAGAAGGAACAAAGGATAACAGATGGGTAGCTGAAGTAACAGATTGCTACCTACTGAACATTACAAGACCTAGAAGAAAGCCTCCAGCGTCTTGACTGGATCTTCTTTGAAGGTTCTGTGGCAGAATATGTATGAGAATTAGAGTGAAAAGGCCTGGTAGGGTTATGATTTGTACCAATTCAAATACCCACATTAAAAAGCTCACAAATCCAATGAAATCTTTCTACAAAGGACCTTACATGTAAAGTGTGTTGAGTGCAGATATGGAGGAAATACCTAAAATTATAGCTTTTATGTACTTAGTATTATTATTATTATTATTATTATTTTCTGTTTCTGATGCTAGCAATACCTTTGTTTTAGGTTAACTGAAGAAAAAAAATCTTTGAGCTGTCTTCTGTATGCTTTATACCTATATATATACTTTAGAACTGCCCTTTAACTTTTACTCTAGCTCTTTATTTTAGGACCCTTGATGCTCTGCTTTTGTTTCTTTGCAGATTCTGTAACCCTTTTGCTCAATACTAACAGTTGCATTTTTATTTGCTGTGTACCAGATTGTTTTTTGTGCTGCTGGTGTTTTCTAGCATTCCATAAATATTTGAAATTGTCCTTATAAGATTTCTTTTGTCTTCCTTCTTATAGTAAACCCTTTTATGCTCACCAGATAGTTGCTTGTGGCTTACATAAGCAGCTCATATATGCGTTTTACATATTTATCCCAACAGCCTTCTTCATTTTATTCTTTATTTCTTTTATTGGTAGATCATTAAACACTTATGTTGCCTACATAGTAAAATTCTTTTGTTTTGTTTTGGTTTTTTGCTTTTTGGTGAGGCAGTTGGGGTTCAGTGACTTGCCCAGGGTCACACAGCTAGTAAGTGTCAAGTGTGTGAGACTGGATTTGAACTCAGGTCCTCCTGACTCCAAGTCCAGAGCTCTATCCACTGCACCACCTAGCCACCCCAATAGTAGAATTCTGAAATAGTTTTCATTTCTATAGTCTTCGTGAAAATCTTTAGTTACATATGCTTTTCCTTGATACTGATACCCAACTTTGTTGGACATTTAGTATATAGTCAGAGTGATATGTGATTGCAGAGTAATCTATGATCTGTTACATGTCATTTTGTATGGATATTTTAAGATTAGTCATAAATATAAATGAACTCCTGAATAACTGTCATGAAAACTGTTGCTGTTAAAAGATATTTTAGGAGGTTTAAAAGCCTAATGTTAAGCTGTCTTCTGGTAAGTTCCAGAGATATTATAGAGTGGATTCTAGTATTGGATGCGAGGTTGGGCTAAATGTCCTCTATGAAGAACTTGTGTTTGTATTTTTTTGGAGGGATATTATATTCTATTTTCAACAAATTCAGCTAACATTTATTACATCAACTATGTGCAAGGCACCATGCTAGGAGCAGAAATGAAACAGCCATTGCTTCAAAGAACTTAGAGTCTCCTTGGAGGGGAAGAGGAAAAGGCGATAAATTACAAGATGTGTGGAAAGATGTGATTTCAAGAAGGAAAAATCATTACAATGGATGGGAGCTGTAAGGGGGAGGGGCGTCGTTGGGAGCAAGAGGAGGGGAGGATTTGCTGAGGAGACAGTACTTGGAGCTGATTCTTGAAGAAAGACAAAGAAGGGGCCAATAGTCTGTATAAATGCACAGAGGCAAGAAAGAGTTCAGTGGAGTTCAGGAAACTCCATTGGAACATGGAGTACATATGAAAGAAGTCTGGAAAGGTTGGTTGGAACCTTATTGCGGAGAGCCTTAAATGCAAAGTTGAGGAATTTATACTTCATCCTAAGGGCTAGTAGGGAACTATTCTTGAAATTTGAGCAAATTAATGACTTAGGAAGATTATTTTGGCAACTATATGGAAAATGGAATAGACTTAAGAGAAACCAGAAGTAGATGGACTACTGGGAAGGCTATTAAGGGGCAGCTAGGTGGCTCAGTGGATAGAGCACCTGTCCTAGAGGCAGGAAGACCTGAGTTCAAATCTGGGCTCAGACCAAACACTTAACACTTACTAGCTGTGTGAGCCTGGGCAAGTCACTTAACCACAACTGCCTAAAAATTTAAAAAATATATATTAAATATTTAAAAAAGACTATTAAAGTAGTTCCGGTGAAAACAGGTAAAAAGTTTGAACTTGGGTGGTACCTTTGTGGGTGGAGAAAAAGATAAATGTGAAAAATGTAGGGTTAAAATTGACAAGAATTGACAGCTGGTTGGATATAGGAAGTAAGGGAGGAGGAAGGGTCAAGGATTTCCCCAAAAGTGCAAACCTGGGGATAACTGGAAGGATGGTGCCCTCAACAGAAATATGGTATTTTGATGGAGCTCAAGTTTAGGGATAAAGATGCATTTTTTTTAACATCTTGAGTTTGAAATTCTTATAGATTTATCAAACCCAAGATTACTATGGTCATTGATTACTTTGTCTGACTTTTGATAAGCCCAAAGACTCCAGCTTCTGGGATAAGAACTCACCATTTGACAAAAACTGCTGGGAAAAGTGGAAAATTGTGTGGCAGAAACTAGGCATCTCATCACTATATACCAAGATAAGGTCAAAATGGGTACATGATTTAGACAGAAAGGGTGGTACCATAAGCAAATTAGGAGAGCAAGGAATAGTTTATCTGTCAGATCTATAGAGAAGGGAAGAATTTATGACCAAACAAGAGATAGAGAATGTTATGAAATGCAAAATGGATTATTTTGATTAAATTGAAATGTTTTTGCATAAACAAAGCCAATGCAACTAACATTAGAAGGGAAGCAGAAAGGTTCCCAGAAACAATTTTTACAACCAGTGTCTCTGATAAAGGCCTCATTTCTAAAATATATAGAGAATTGAGTCAAATTTATAAGAATACAGGTCATTCCCCAATTGAGAAATGATCAAAGAATATGAATAGGCAGTTTTCAGATGAAAAAATCAAAGCTATCTGTAGACATATGAAGAAGTGCTCTAAAGCGCTATTGACTGGAGAAATGCAAATTAAAACAACTCTGAGGTACCACCTCACACCTAATCGGATTGGCTAATATGACAAAAAAGGAAAATGATAAATGTTGGAGTAGATATAGCAAAATTGGAACACTAATACATTGTTGGTGGAGTTGTGAACTGATCTAACCATTCTGGAGAACAATTTGGAACTATGCCCAAAGGGCTATAAAACTCTGCATACCCTTTAATCCAGCAATGCCATTACATCTTTATCCCAAAGAGATCATAAAAAGGACCCACATGTACAAAAATATTTATAGCAGCTCTTTTTGTGGTGGCAAAGAGTTGGAAATTGAGATCACCATCAGTTGGGGAATGGCTGAATAATTTGTGGTATATGATTGTGATAGAATATTATTGTGATATATGAAATGATGAGATAGATATCTCAGAAAAACCTGGAAAGGCTAACATGAACTGATGCAAAGTGGAATGAATAGAACCAGGAGAACATTGTACACAGTAACAGCAATATTGTAAGATGATCAATTGTGAATGACTTAACTATTCTCAAATACAGTGATCCAAGGCAACTCTGAAGGACTTATGAAAAATGCTCTCCATCCACAGAGAAAGAACTGATGGAGTCTGAATACAGATTGAAGCATGCCTTTTTTTAAATTTTCCTTATTTTTCTTGGGGTTTTTTTGTCTATGTTTTCTTTTATAACATGACTAATATGGAAATATGTTTTGCATGATTACACATGTATAACCATATCAGATTGCTTGCCTTCTCAATGAGGGGGATGGGGAAGAAGGGAGAAAATTTGGAACTTAGTTTTAAAAACGAATGTTGAAAACTGTTTTTACACATGGAAAATAAAATATTAAATAAAAAAAATAATTCCTGTGCTATATCAACTTTCTCTGCCTAGGAGAAATGAAATGAGAAATTAGAGTTGGATGCCTAAAAATATAAAATAATCAACCTAAAATGGAAATCTGTCATACCCTACAGGAAAATAGAGGAGAAGGGGATAGATAAGAGAGTGGGGAGATGATAAAGGGGAGGGCAGGTTGGGGGAGGGGGTAATCAGAAGCACATACTTCTCAGGAGGGCCAGGAAGAGAATAGAATAAAGGGGGGACAGGATAGGATAAAGAGAAATAAAGTTAGTTTTCCACAATATGCCTACTATGGAAGTGTTTTGCATGACTACATGTATAACCTGTATAGAATTGCTTGCCTTCTCAATGAGCGTGAGCGGAGAGGGAGGAAGGGAGAAAATTTGGAACCCGAAGTTTTAAAAACAAATGTTAAAAATTGTTTTCACGTGCAACTGGGAAATAAGATACACAGGCAATGGGGTATAGAAATCTATCCTGCCCTTCAGGAAAATAGAAGGGGAAGAAGATAAGAGAAGGCGGGGAGAGATAGAAGGAAGGACAGATTAGGGGAAGGAGTTTTCAGAATGCAAGCTGTCTTGGGGTGGGGAGAAAATTTGGAACTCAGAATCTTATGGAAATGAATACTTATAATAAATAAATAAGAATTATCAGCCTAAAAGAGGACTATTGATAGTTTCTTTTTGAAAACTTTCTGGGCAATATGTGGACAAACTTAAATAAAATGAATATTTTGGTTGATTTGATATTTAATGTCATGAAATACTCACTGCCCTTTAGAATAACCCAAAAAGTGAAAGCTAAAGAATTCATTGCCATCAAAACTTAGTTTTCCACTCATATGAGACATGATGGCTTCAACTGGTGTAAAGATCTATGACAGAGTTGTTTATGGGGGCTGTCAAGAGAAGAAAGAAACTGTCAAGACAAGCAAGGAGCTAATAATGGGATTTTCTTTATTTTCTCTTCTCTTTGTACAGGATTTATTTTTATCCCAAACCCCTTCCTCCCAGGTTATCAGCGTCACTGGGTGAAGCAGTGCCTTAAGCTTTACTCCCAAAAGCCCAATGTCTGTAACCTGGACAAGCACCTGGTTGCAGAAGAGACCCGGGATCTGTGGGGACAGAGCCAGGAGCTCCTGAGGTGAGGCTAATTTCACAGTAACTGCTAAATATTTAGTTTCAGACCTTTGAGGGACTGCCTCGTTTGTTCCACAAATAACCTTGCAACAAAGGGGTTTGATTGTTCTGTTAAACTTCTCATCTGACCCTCCCTGATTCTAAGCAAGTTCTCCAGTATTTTTTTATTTCCTCAAAATGCATTTGGACAAGGGGCCTCTGTTTTAGATTTCATTTTGGGGAGAAGAACAACAGTCACGTAAGAGCAGCAGCTCTTTGTCCAGTGTAACTCTTCCCACAGTCTACTCACCTCTTCAGGAGACTGAGGCAGCAAGCCAGCTGGGGCTTGGAACAGTGTCAGATGTTGATGCCTCTTTGCTCTCTTGCTCAGACACCTTTTGGCCAGCTTTATGTCCTCCACTGGGGACGTGAATGGTTTCAAGGCAAGAAGGTATATAGATGAATCTGCTCACTGAGCCATCTTGACAGAAGAAGGCAGAAGTTTAGTGAATGACAGAGCTTCTTACAGAAGACATGAGGCTGGGTTTTGTTCTTGCCTTCTCAGTAGGTGGGAGAGGGGGAGGGTGGGAAACAGAATTCAGAACCAAAAATAAAATGAAATTGAATTTTCCAAAAAGGGAGAAAAAAATGAATTAAAAACCATTACTGTATATGATGAATGAAATGTATTGTCAGAAACATGACAGGAGAGAGGAAATATAGGCTCTACCATTGTTTATTCTGCTCTTGTTTTGAGAGTAAAGGGCTCATTTTATCAACTGTGTTTACCAAAACCTGGCAGATTTGAGAATTATTATAATGCATGTAAAATCAGTTAACTTGTGATGGTCCATATATATATATATTTTTTCCCCCCGTAGGGGAAAGGAAGATTTCTACTCTTGAGTTCAGGGTACTGACTTTGATACTCATCTAATTGACAGGCTATAGATGAGAAAGAATCCAGTTATAGAAGACAGCATTCAAAGTTCTTTTATAATAACTGAAGTGGAATAGAAAGACCCCTAGAACAAATAGCTTTCTTCCTTTTCCATGTCCAAAATAAGTAAGGTAATTTGTTTTTTGTCTGACTCGGAAATGTCCCTTTTAGACCAAGTAGGGGTGGGGAGCATTGTAACAGCCCCCAAGCACTTTTATGAAGCACTTAGCAGTGCGTGGAAGTGGTCAAAGCGCTCTGTGGGCACATTCACCAGGGAAGAGGAAGCTGTCTGGCCCATACATCCATCATCCTCAAGATTAGTACCTAGAGGAGGAAGTCAAGCATTGGACAAAGAATAGACAATTTTTCTGGATCACCTTAGTACCCATACTTAAGTCTTTATTGATTTGAAAACATTGTCTTTTGGATAATTTCAAGCTCTTAGATGCTAGTGTATTTCTAGTGCATTTTTAATCCAGTCTAACAAGAATGTACAAGGCATTATGCTAGGCATTGAGGATACAAAGAGAAAACAGTAAACAGTAGGACCTTATAATCTACTGAGCGGATACAACATAGAGACAGATAAATATATACATAATCCTCTAAGGAGGAATAGAATACTTCAGTATTGGGGATGAAGAGTGGGGGCTGTCAGGAGTGGTTTCCCATAGGAGGGGGCACAAGAGCCTTGGAGGAAGATAGAAATTCTAAGAGGTGGAGGTGAAATACATGGGAAACACTGGGGCATAGATATGAAGTGAAATGCCAAGTTTGAATAACAGCAAGTGGACCAATTTGGCTGAAACTTAGAGGTTGTGAAGGAGAATAATGTAAAATAAGCCTGGATATGTTAGATTGGAGCCAGATTATGAAGAGCTTCAAATCTCAAGGAATTTGTATTTTATCCTGGAGGCAAGAAAGAGCCACCAAAGAGAATCTTCCTGCCTGCCCCCCCCCCCCAAATAGATCTAGGGACTTGCACAAGCTAAGTGATTTTACATACATTATAATAATTCCCATATTTGCCAGCTTTTGGTGAGCACAACTGACAAAATGAGCCCTTTACTCTCAAAATAGGTACAGAGCCTGTGTTTTCCCTACCTCCTGTGATGTTTTTGACAATACATTTCATTCACCATATATAGCAATGGTTTTCTAACTCTTGTTTTTCTCTCTTAAAAAAAAAAGATTGCTTTAAAAGCAAAGTTTTATGGTTAGACTTTTCAGAAAATTATTTTGGGATCTCTATGGATTAGAGACAGTAAATATTAGAAACTGGTAGTGCAGTTTTGCAGCATCCCTAGTCAGAAGTAATGAGGGCCATGTGAGTAGAGATAAGGGATAGATAGATAGATAGATAGATAGATAGATAGATAGATAGATAGATAGATAGAATGTAGATACAAAGGCTTCCTATTGATGGAGAGTCTTCTCGTACTTCTAGTACTAGACTCATAGATTCTAGACACTAGAATGATACACTCTTAGATTCAGAGGGAGACCTCAGAGGTCAGCTAATGTAATCACTCTCTGAAACATGAATCCCACATGCAGTATTCCTTCCAAATGGTCAGTCCTCCAACCTCTCTTCAGATCATCCAGTTTTTCTCAAGATTGGAGAGGCTCTCAGATGTGGAAAGCTTTTGTTTCTGGAAAAAAGTGTCCTGCTACTTACTTTTCCCAGTCTATCTTCTTCCACTTCCCGTTAGGGCTTCTGTCTTGACTCTTACTGGAAACAACCAGGAAACATGAAAATGCGACAGCCTCAAAGTTGAAATTACCTAGGAGTGTCAGTGCTCATGTGAGCTCCCCAGAGACCCTTAGGATTCTGGCACTTTCCTTAGTATACTCTTTGGAAGCCTATGGAGTATTAGCCAGGCAGCAATAACTCCTAGGAACTCCCTAGGAATTACTGTTTCCCTTTTACTTTCACAACCAAGGGAGCAATGATTCAAACAGTTGCCGTTTTAATGCCAAAAAATGTGGAGACAGAAATTAAAAATGGAGTTCAGAATATGACTTGAAGTAAGGAGCAAATTCTTGTGCCTACATGTATCTAAAAAGCTGACAATAAACTACCCATTTCTTCACACAGAGGGAAAAATTTTCTCCCACAGAGCAATTTCCTATTAGACCTCTTCCTGATATTGTTTGTTGTGATGACTTTTTTCATTTTGATTGTCTTTAGTGCTTCTGAAAGCAAAGGGCTTTCCTTCAGCTATCTCTGATAATGGCCTGATATCCAAAATATATAGGAATTAACCAAAAGTGTATAAGACCAAGAGCCACAGCACAATGAATAAGTGAACAGAAGATAAAATTAAGTAGTTCTCTAAGGAAATTCAAATGTTAACACTTGAACGATTGTTCCAAATTGTTCCAAATCACTGAAAGAAAGAGAGGGAAATGCATATGGAAACAGTGCTGAGGTTTCACCTTACCCAGAAAATCTAAAGATAAAAAAATGGAAAGAAGCAATTTTTGAAGGGCTTCAGGAAGACACACTGTTACACATTTGCTGGAGTTATGAGTTGGTCCAGCTGTTCTGGAAAGCAGTTTGGAATTATGCTTTCTTTAAAAGTATCTTAAAAGGTCCAGAATATCAAGGGAATTAATGAAAAGAAATGCTAGGGAAAGTGACCTAGCTATACCAGATCTTAAATTGTATTATAAAACAGCAATCATCAAAACTTCTTGGTACTGGCTAAGAAATAGAGTGGTGGATCAGTGGAATAGGTTAGGTACACAAGACACAGTAGTCAATGACTGTAAGAATCTGTTTGATAAGCCCAAAGACTCCAGCTTCTGGCATAAGAACTCACTATTTGATAAAACTGCTGGGAAAACTGGAAAATAGTATCGCAGAAACTAGGCATAGATCAACATCTTACACTGTATACCAAAATAAAGTCAAAATGGGTACATAATTTAGATATGAAGGCTGGTACTATAAGCAGACTAGGAGAGCAAGGAATAGTTTGCCTGTCAGATTTATGTAGAACTGAAGAATTTATGCCTAAACAAGAGATAGAGAACATTTTGAAATGCAAAATGGATAATTTTGATTACATTAAATTGAAAAGTTTTTACACAAACAAAGCCAATGCAAGATTAGGAGGGAAGCAGAAAACTAGGGAAAAAATTTTACAACAGTGTCTCTGATAAAGGCCTCATTTCTAAAATATATAGAGAACTGAGTCAAATTTATAAGAATACAAGTCATTCCCCAGTTGATAAATAGTCAAAGGATATGAACAGGCAGTTTTCAGATGAAGAAATTTAAGCTATCTATAGTCATATGAAAAAATGCTCTGAATCATTATTGATTAGAGAAATGTGAATCAAAACAACTTTCAGGTACCATGTCACATCTATCAGATTGGCTAACATGACAAAACAGTCACTTAACCCCAGTTGCCTCACAAAAGAAAAAAATATATACCAGAAGTCTTGAAAGAGAAATAGAAGAGATCTATTGTGTGGGACATCTTTGTCTCACTGGAGCCATATTTGTAATCATCATTAGCAAAGAAAAAAGCCTCATTACTATAGTATGCCTTGTAGAGTCTGATGTTATTTTGCATCACAGATATTTTGTATTACAGATGTTAAAGATCTTTGAAAGGCTGCACACCTCTAGTTGAGGTCTGAGTTACAGGTAGTCTAATTGTTCTTTAGCTCTCCAGAAGAGGGCACCAACAAATCCTTTTTTTGGCCTTCTCATACATTTTTAACCTATAGTAATCCTGATTTAACTTTAACTGCAGTAGCTTAATTTACACCATATTTTTAAAAATTTACTCATTACATGATAGTTGTTTTCTATATTATATACACTAGTCTATAATTGTTTATATCATAACTGTGTTGGTCAGCTAGCTGCAGTTGGTACTTCAGAATCGGCAAATCTTTTTCATGATTGTGAGATGCTGACTTTTCATATTGATAAAAATTGTATTTGTCAGCATTCGTTATATTCACCATACCTTTGCTTCTCTGTGTGTGTGTGTGTGTGTGTGTCTGTGTCTGTGTCTGTGTGTCTCTGTTGTGTGTGTCTGTGTACTCACATAAGCATGTGCATA